GTTGTCTTTTATTGCCAGTCTATACAATCTTAAGCAGAGGGTTCATATTGTCTGTATTTATTGGTTATTGGTAAACATGGCACAGATTATTAAAAGGGGTTTGCTATTATCAGCTTGAATCTCGGCTGCCGTGTACATGATTTAGATGGTTTTGTAAGGTCAAAATCAACATGACCTAATTCAGAATAAGTGAACATACGAACAGATTTTAAGCCTCACTCTAACTTGTCCCCTCAGGTTCAGGAAGTTTGCCCTCCCTCCCGCTAGATGAAAGAAATTCTGTCTGAATTGCCAGATTCTGCTCCTGCCAGGAGAGCATGCTGCCACTCCTCCACAGATGCACAGCATCACCACAGCCCAGCTGAGGAAGCCAAGTGCACTGCTGTGTCCTCTGGACAACAAGAAGAAGAACGCCCAGTACCTGTTCACGGAGCGCAGCTCAACACTTTCTGCTGGACACCTTAGCTGGGCAGGGGTACAGGAAGGTCCTGTGTGTGGGCACACCCAGGTGAGGGAGACATTTTAGTTAGAAGATACACAAACACTTGTTTAAAGTATGCCTGTCTTAAAGGGTTGCTTCAGCCAAATCACCAAAAACAGATCTCTTCTTCTAAAAGCAGTATTATGTTGCCACAAGTTTTTTATGCCTCTGTGCCAGTGACAGTCAGACCAAGAGGAATTATGGTTTCAGGTTTTCTGTCTGTCCGTCCCATTCTTATGAATGCAGTATCTCAGTAACGTCTTGAAGGAATTTCTTCAAATTTGGCAAACACATCGGCTTGGAATCAAGTATGAATTAGAATTTGGTGGTCAAAGTCACAAGTAACCTCACAAAAGAACACAACCATAACTCACAAATTCATACACTAATTATGACATGATTTAACTCAAATGTCTAACAGGATAAAATTATGAAGTGATGACATTTATTTATTGTAGTTGTTTTTCTTTAGATGTTGACTTTTTCATGTGCAGTGTTCAAAGAACGGAAAAATAAGCGTGTCCTGGTGGCCTAGTAGTATAATAGTAATATAATCACATGTACTCAGTTTGGTCAGTGGACAGTTAGTGTGCTGAGGTGGTTTAGAGGTTTTTCACCAGTAAAATTTTAAAGAAAATACAAAATAAAATACATATAAAAAAATTTGTCATATTTAAAAACAGTTATTGACAGAAGTTTCTGATACCGGCATTAGTCATAAAAATCAATGAAAACAATTTCAGTATTGGTAACAAAATTCAGTCAAATGACTAAGATTTTAGAGAAATGGATTTTATTGATGATTGTTGGTGTTTGTGTTCAGACTCCAGGAGCTGATCAAGCTGCGAAACCTGGAGCAGAAACATGAGCCAATGAAGACTCTGCTGCTGGACATTGACTTCAGGTTAGTTTGTCTTATCATGGTACGTTCAACTCTACAATTGTTCTGACTTAATAAAAAAGGCTGTACATCATCATTAGCAGGACATCAGGTAGTCCACATCACTGTCCAGCATGAAACAGCCCTGAACATCACAGGGTGTTGAGGTGACAGATCTCCAGGTGGTTCGGCCACACCTGGTTCTTGGTGGTCTCAGGAAGCGTATGGCGGGGTACAGGTGCAGTGAACTGGTGATGAGCCCTGTCGAACACAGGTGTCATGGCCGCTGAAAACTTTTGCAGGACAACCATGTTGTCTGCGTCATAAAATATCACCTGACCCTTATCATACCTGACCCATACTCCCACCTTTCCGAGCGCTGTTTGCCCGACGCCCTGACACGATACATGCCGGTGTTGTGCCAGGCAGACAGATTACTGTCCCTGAGCTCCACGCACCACGAGTTCCTGTTTCGGCCCAGTTTGGCACCCTTGTCCCGCCCCTTCCTCTGCAGGCTGGTGTAGGCTACGCCCACAGCCCAGGTGGAGCAGCACCGTACATCGACCTCCCAGTAACTCTGACCTGCCGCGAGGGGAGATGAACCTAGAGCACAGCATACTCTGTCAAATTGAAGAGGATGCTCCGGAGCTGAGCGCCAGAGCCTGAGAAGGACATGCCCCGCCCCTCGCAGGTCACTGTGATCTGGCTATGGCACGTCTGCCTGTCAATCACAAGGGATGAATCTGAAACGAAACACAGAGAACCCAGAGTCTGTATGACATTTCGATCTGACCATACATGAGTGTCTTAACGCTTTACTGCTGCATTCATTTGATTGGTAGTAGTTTGGTGATGTTGTTTCGTGGTGAGGAGGAGGTCGTTGGACAAGACAACTGATCACATGGTGATATTTGGGACCAGTATGACTCTAGTTCCTGTACTGATGAGTACAATCAAAGATTGAAAGGTTACTGAATTCAGCACTAGTCCAAGCAACCATTGAATCTTTTGATTCTCTACAGACATGTATCAGAGGTTACACCGTGACTCTGTATCAAAAGGAAATATGACATCACGTGCTATGGTAGAAGACGCTTGCCCCGACTACAAGGATAGATATTGTAATGACGGAGTCAAAAGCAAATCCAAAACTTAAACTACCTTCTTCTGGTTAATACCACCAACAACATGTTAACAAAAGTTTTGCAGAGAACATTGACTCATTCTTCTCATGTCCTCAAATGAACCCGACCTGACACACTACAACACCCTGCTGCCCTCATTGACTGATGGAGAAGTAAATGCCTCAGTACCTAACAGTAGAGTCTTCCTCTGCAGCTGGGCTCTCAGGTTTCTGGAGATGGAGGATAATGTTTTAAGAAGCTTCTCGAATCTCTCCTCATTCAGTCTGATTTGCTTTTCAGAGGCGTCTGGCTTCTTTGGACTGTGATCAGGGAGAGGTGGAGGAAGTTAGAAACAACATAGTCAGAAGTCTACATCAGAGCTGTATAGGAGATGGAGCTGAAAACCTTTTCATGTGATTTACCTCAGATTCTCAGACTGACCCTGAGAGGAGACACAAACAGAAACGCTGATTAAAACAGCAGGAAAATAGTTTTAAACTGTAGTACTGAGAGACTGAATCAGACCTTCCCATCTTCCTCTGCTGCCGAGCTCTTGCTCAGTGCGCTCTGGGTGCTGCTGATGCTCTTGTGACCTGGTCCTGGTGCTGTTTCCAGTTCTTCAGAACGTGGTCCAGTCTGGTTCTGGTCTGTCTCAGGTCCAGCTCCAGAGAGTCTAAGACGGCCTGCTCGTCCTGCTTCAGGATGGCCACCATGTTCTCAAAGCGCTCACGGACCTGCTGCTTCATCATCTCTGTGCTCCTCTACAGGGAGGAACATGGAGCGTATTTGAAGTCTTGTGGGTCTGATGTCTGTGTAGTAAATTGTCTTAAGTACAAGTAGAGAGGGTCTGGATCCATACTTACAGAGAGATCTGTGCTGCGTTTTTCAGAGACTGGATGTGGGCTTCGGTCTTGGCTCTTTCTGCCTGTAGATCCTCCAAACGTCTGGACAGCTGCTCCTGCAGAGAGCAGAGTCACAGTCACCAGAGCACAGGCTCCAGCTCTTAAAAGGACTGGATCCTACATTACCCATAATGCAGCTCAATGGTGTCTTTCAGTAGACCCTCCCTACTTCCTAAATACCCAGAATTGTTAAACCCCACATCTCCAGTTTGTAACACAAAATTGCTGTTTAAAAAAGAAAAAAAAAAAGTAGTTTCAAGCCCAGTCCAATATAAACAATGACATCATCCCCCCATCTAACACCAGGTCACATGCTAAAGACAACATTTATTTACAAAGAGGCTAAAAGAAGAAAACAAAGGAAAAAGCTGGATCTCGTGCTTGAGAGTGAGAGAGAATATTGAGCAGAGTAAAACCCAGCCCACACCGTCCGTCATCAGTGTCGTGCACCTCGATGAAAACACATAGAACAGACACACAAAACAAAATAACAGCAGGACGCAGAATGATGCGAAACAGGTGACTCTTCTGCGTCTTCAGGAAACAACAGCAAATAGACAGAAGAGAAGCAAACACAGAATCACTACAAGCCGTACAGAAACACAGCAGAAGCTTGTTGGGGGACACCGACTGCACCCAAACTGCATGGTGGGACATACAGTACACCTTCTCATTTGGCTTGGTCCATTGCGATTCAAAAGGTGCTCGCTGTACTTACTCACAGGTTGACAGTACGTGCAGTTTGTTGTAAGTGCTATTCGCTGACGAGCTGCAGCAGCACGGTTCAGCCTCAGTAGAGGCTGCTTGTACTCTGGCTGTTTCTTCACATCCTCACATGACATTTCTTGAGCAGCAGGTCATTTCTGATGCTGGCTCCATGCAGATGAGACAGGTGTGATATCGTCACATCACTATGCTTTGGAAATCTCACCACACTCATGTTTACCTGAGAGGGCTTTCCATCTTTGGCTTTCTTCCTCTGTAGCTTTGGTGAGCGTGGGAACGGTTGAACGACCCTGTACAAGTTGAAATCCAGGGGAGTGAAGCTTAGTCCGTCCTGCAGTACAGAGTGGGCTCCTGCAGAGGGCGCCGCAACACCGCTCTGCACTGACTGAGCCATTGTTGACTGTCCATTACCAACAGATAATGACTCTCTTTCTGCCATGTCTGATGAGTGAACAAAACAACAACCAGATGTTGAACCTCTAGCTGAATAATTCTTCCTGTGTTTTTGCCTTGGCTGTTTGCAGAGTAAACCAGTTCTCCAGGTTTTGAAAAGTCTGTGAAAACCTGTTTTTGTCGTGAGTCCATGACAGTGTTATTGCAAAGACCCTGTCGGGCCATGGCCTCACTTCCTCTGCAGCTAAAAACAAATCTGTTAAAAAACATTTTCACTACTGTAATTTACTCTTCATATTTGGCACATTTAGCATGAAGAGTCAGATAATTAGTTTACTGTGGAATAACCTTTAGACCTTTACCTGCTAAAGAAAGTAAATGTTTATATTCATTGTTCAAAATTAAATACAGACTAAATTATATTCTTTGAAAATGGTTAAAAATGTTTTTTAGCTGTTCTTACCTGAGATCTGCTCGCCTGTCTCTCCCCGCTGTGTGTTTCTGTAAAGAATGTGCAGGTGGAAGTATAGAGAGGGTGTGTTCCTGTTTGACAAGCCTCAGCCTGCAACTCCTTATCGTTACCAGGATACACTTGAGATCAGCTGTGCGTTTGCTATCTTTATGTGCATGTACAGATAAGTTCAGACTTGCTGTGGTTTTTCAGCCTGATATTAATACTTAGAGGAAACGGAACAGAAGACAATCTGTTAGTATTTAATGCTGAAAAAACATTACCCTCTGTTTCAGATATGCCCAGTTCTACAGCCAGGATGAGTTCTGTCACTACAACATGTTCAACCATCACTTTTTTGCGGGAGAGGTAGGAGTTAAAACACTTCATTTCCATGTTTTCCATTTTCAGTCCTGTATAATGAGGCTTTGTCGCTTGACAGGCCTCCAGTGCAGTCCTGCAGTCCTTCCTCAGAGAGAGTGTGACGGGGAGAAGGTGGTGATGGTGGCTGACCCTCCATTCGGCGGTCTAGTGAAGCCTCTGGCCAACACTTTCTCTCTGATCTCACAGACATGGAGGAAGCTGCAGAGCTCTGGTCAGTGTCTGAACTTTTATCCTCTCTATATCTGTCATATTTTTTTTTTTTCAATAACAATTAACTCTGTGTTTTATTGAGCTCTGTTCAAGTCAAGGCCCCTATAAATGATGAAGGAAAAAAGAACCCTCCAGATTCTTGGTATAAATTGGGAAACTGCTTCTGGTCCACCCACCCATTGTCTGTATAGTATTTGTACTTTTAATGTCCTGTTGCATTATTGTTATGTGGTTTTAATCATTCTTAAGGTGTGACAATAATTCCCTCTTGTGGGACAAAGAGATCTGACCTGAACAGAGCTCAATAAAACACAGAGTTAATTGTTATTGGAAAAAAAAAAATATGACAGATATAGAGAGGATAAAAGTTCAGACACTGACCAGAGCTCTGCAGCTTCCTCCATGTCTGTGAGATCAGAGAGAAAGTGTTGGCCAGAGGCTTCACTAGACCGCCGAATGGAGGGTCAGCCACCATCACCACCTTCTCCCCGTCACACTCTCTGAGGAAGGACTGCAGGACTGCACTGGAGGCCTGTCAAGCGACAAAGCCTCATTATACAGGACTGAAAATGGAAAACATGGAAATGAAGTGTTTTAACTCCTACCTCTCCGCCAAAAAAGTGATGGTTGAACATGTTGTAGTGACAGAACTCATCCTGGCTGTAGAACTGGGCATATCTGAAACAGAGGGTAATGTTTTTTCAGCATTAAATACTAACAGATTGTCTTCTGTTCCGTTTCCTCTAAGTATTAATATCAGGCTGAAAAACCACAGCAAGTCTGAACTTATCTGTACATGCACATAAAGATAGCAAACGCACAGCTGATCTCAAGTGTATCCTGGTAACGATAAGGAGTTGCAGGCTGAGGCTTGTCAAACAGGAACACACCCTCTCTATACTTCCACCCTGCACATTCTTTACAGAAACACACAGCGGGGAGAGACAGGCGAGCAGATCTCAGGTAAGAACAGCTAAAAAACATTATTTAACCATTTTTCAAAGAATATAATTTAGTCTGTATTTAATTTTGAACAATGAATATAACACATTTACTTTCTTTAGCAGGTAAAGGTCTAAAGGTTATTCCACAGTAAACTAATTATCTGACTCTTCATGCTAAATGTGCCAAATATGAAGAGTAAACTTACAGTAGTGAAAATGTTTTTGTAACAGATTTGTTTTTAGCTGCAGAGGAAGTGAGGCCATGGCCCCGACAGGGTCTTTGCAATAACACTGTCATGGACTCACGACAAAAACAGGTTTTCACAGACTTTTCAAAAACCTGGAGAACTGGTTTACTCTGCAAACAGCCAAGGCAAAAACACAGGAAGAATTATTCAGCTAGAGGTTCAACATCTGGTTGTTGTTTTGTTCACTCATCAGACATGGCAGAAAGAGAGTCATTATCTGTTGGTAATGGACAGTCAACAATGGCTCAGTCAGTGCAGAGCGGTGTTGCGGCGCCCTCTGCAGGAGCCCACTCTGTACTGCAGGACGGACTAAGCTTCACTCCCCTGGATTTCAACTGTGACAGGGTCGTTCAACCGTTCCCACGCTCACCAAAGCTACAGAGGAAGAAAGCCAAAGATGGAAAGCCCTCTCAGGTAAACATGAGTGTGGTGAGATTTCCAAAGCATAGTGATGTGACCGATATCACACCTGTCTCATCTGCATGGAGCCGGCATCAGAAATGACCTGCTGCTCAAGAAATGTCATGTGAGGATGTGAAGAAACAGCCAGAGTACAAGCAGCCTCTAACTGAGGCTGAACCGTGCTGCTGCAGCTCAGTCAGCGAATAGCACTTACAACAAACTGCACGTACTGTCAACCTGTGAGTAAGTACAGCGAGCACCTTTTGAATCGCAATGGACCAAGACAAATGAGAAGGTGTACTGTATGTCCCACCATGCAGTTTGGGTGCAGTCGGTGTCCCCCAACAAGCTTCTGCTGTGTTCTGTACGGCTTGTAGTGATTCTGTGTTTGCTTCTCTTCTGTCTATTTGCTGTTGTTTCCTGAAGACGCAGAAGAGTCACCTGTTTCGCATCATTCTGCGTCCTGCTGTTATTTTGTTTGTGTGTCTGTTCTATGTGTTTTCATCGAGGTGCACGACACTGATGACGGACGGTGTGGGCTGGGTTCTTACTCTGCTCATATTCTCTCTCACTCTCAAGCACGAGATCCAGCTTTTTCCTTTGTTTTCTTCTTTTAGCCTCTTTGTAAATAAATGTTGTCTTTAGCATGTGACCTGGTGTTAGATGGGGGGATGATGTCATTGTTATATTGGACTGGGCTTGAAACTACTTTTTTTTTTCTTTTTTAAACAGCAACTCTGTGTTACAAACTGGAGATGTGGGGTTTAACAATTCTGGGTATTTAGGAAGTAGGGAGGGTCTACTGAAAGACACCATTGAGCTGCATTATGGGTAATGTAGGATCCAGTCCTTTTAGAGCTGGAGCCTGTGCTCTGGTGACTGTGACTCTGCTCTCTGCAGGAGCAGCTGTCCAGACGTTTGGAGGATCTACAGGCAGAAAGAGCCAAGACCGAAGCCCACATCCAGTCTCTGAAAAAACGCAGCACAGATCTCTCTGTAAGTATGGATCCAGACCCTCTCTACTTGTACTTAAGACAATTTACTACACAGACATCAGACCCACCAAGACTTCAAATACGCTCCATGTTCCTCCCTGTAGAGGAGCACAGAGATGATGAAGCAGCAGGTCCGTGAGCGCTTTGAGAACATGGTGGCCATCCTGAAGCAGGACGAGCAGGCCGTCTTAGACTCTCTGGAGCTGGACCTGAGACAGACCAGAACCAGACTGGACCAGGTTCTGAAGAAGTGGAAACAGCACCAGGACCAGGTCACCAAGAGCATCAGCAGCACCCAGAGCGCACTGAGCAAGAGCTCGACAGCAGAGGAAGATGGGAAGGTCTGATTCAGTCTCTCAGTACTACAGTTTCAAAACTATTTTCCTGCTGTTTTAATCAGCGTTTCTGTTTGTGTCTCCTCTCAGGGTCAGTCTGAGAATCTGAGGTAAATCACATGAAAAGGTTTTCAGCTCCATCTCCTATACAGCTCTGATGTAGACTTCTGACTATGTTGTTTCTAACTTCCTCCACCTCTCCCTGATCACAGTCCAAAGAAGCCAGACGCCTCTGAAAAGCAAATCAGACTGAATGAGGAGAGATTCGAGAAGCTTCTTAAAACATTATCCTCCATCTCCAGAAACCTGAGAGCCCAGCTGCAGAGGAAGACTCTACTGTTAGGTACTGAGGCATTTACTTCTCCATCAGTCAATGAGGGCAGCAGGGTGTTGTAGTGTGTCAGGTCGGGTTCATTTGAGGACATGAGAAGAATGAGTCAATGTTCTCTGCAAAACTTTTGTTAACATGTTGTTGGCTGGTATTAACCAGCAGAAGGTAGTTTAAGTTTTGGATTTGCTTTGACTCCGTCATTACAATATCTATCCTTGTAGTCGGGGCAAGCGTCTTCTACCATAGCACGTGATGTCATATTTCCATTTTGATACAGAGTCACGGTGTAACCTCTGATACATGTCTGTAGAGAATCAAAAGATTCAAAAGTTGCTTGGACTAGTGCTGTTGCTTGTTTACCATTTTGATGGTTGCTTGGACTAGTGCTGAATTCAGTAACCTTTCAATCTTTGATTGTACTCATCAGTTCAGGAACTCAGGTCATACTGGTCCCAAATATCACCATGTGATCAGTTTGCTTGTCCAACGACCTCCTCCTCACCACGAAACCAGATCACCAAACTACTACCAATCAAATGAATGCAGCAGTAAAAGCGTTAAGACACTCATGTATGGTCAGATCGAAATGTCATACAAGACTCTGGGTTCTCTGTGTTTCGTTTCAGATTCATCCCCTGTGGTGATTGACAGGCAGACGTGCCATAGCCAGATCACAGTGACCTGCGAGGGGCGGGGCATGTCCTTCTCAGGCTCTGGCCGCTCAGCTCCGGAGAATCCTCTTCAATTTGACAGAGTATGCTGTGCTCTAGGTTCATCTCCCCTCGCGGCAGGTCAGAGTTACTGGGAGGTCGATGTACGGTGCTGCTCCACCTGGGCTGTGGGCGTAGCCTACACCAGCCTGCAGAGGAAGGGGCGGGACAAGGGTGCCAAACTGGGCCGAAACAGGAACTCGTGGTGCGTGGAGCTCAGGGACAGTAATCTGTCTGCCTGGCACAACGACCGGCATGTATCGTGTCAGGGCGTCGGGCAAACAGCGCTCGGAAAGGTGGGAGTATGGGTCAGGTATGATAAGGGTCAGGTGATATTTTATGACGCAGACAACATGGTTGTCCTGCAAAAGTTTTCAGCAGCCATGACACCTGTGTTCGACAGGGCTCATCACCAGTTCACTGAGCCCCTGTACCCCGCCATACGCTTCCTGAGACCACCACAGAACCAGGTGTGGCCGAACCACCTGGAGATCTGTCATCTCAACACCCTGTGATGTTCAGGGCTGTTTCATGCTGGACAGTGATGTGGACTCTACCTGATGTCCTGCTAATGATGATGTACAGCCTTTTTTATTAAGTCAGAACAATTGTAGAGTTGAACGTACCATGATAAGACAAACTAACCTGAAGTCAATGTCCAGCAGCAGAGTCTTCATTGGCTCATGTTTCTGCTCCAGGTTTCGCAGCTTGATCAGCTCCTGGAGTCTGACACAAACACCAACAATCATCAATAAAATCCATTTCTTTAAAATCTTAGTCATTTGACTGAATTTTGTTACCAATACTGAAATTGTTTTCATTGATTTTTATGACTAATGCCGGTATCAGAAACTTCTGTCAATAACTGTTTTAAATATGACAAATTTTTTATATGGTATTTTATTTTGTATTTTCTTTAAAATTTTACTGGTGAAAAACCTCTAAACCACCTCAGCACACTAACTGTCCACTGACCAAACTGAGTACATGTGATTATGTTACTATTATACTACTAGGCCACCAGGACACGCTTATTTTTCCGTTCTTTGAACACTGCACATGAAAAAAGTCAACATCTAAAGAAAACAACTACAATAAATAAATGTCATCACTTCATAATTTTATCCTGTTAGACATTTGAGTTAAATCATGTCATAATTAGTGTATGAATTTGTGAGTTATGGTTGTGTTCTTTTGTGAGGTTACTGTGACCTTTGACCACCAAATTCTAATTCATACTTGATTCCAAGCCGATGTGTTTGCCAAATTTGAAGAAATTCCTTCAAGACGTTACTGAGATACTGCATTCATAAGAATGGGACGGACAGACAGAAAACCTGAAACCATAATTCCTCTGGCTCTGACTGTCACTGGCACAGAGGCATAAAAACTTGTGGCAACATAATACTGCTTTTAGAAGAAGAGATCTGTTTTTGTGATTTGGCTGAAGCAACCCTTTAAGACAGGCATACTTTAAACAAGTGTTTGTGTATCTTCTAACTAAATGTCTCCCTCACCTGGGTGTGCCCACACACAGGACCTTCCTGTACCCCTGCCCAGCTAAGGTGTCCAGCAGAAAGTGTGAGCTGCGCTCCGTGAACAGGTACTGGGCGTTCTTCTTCTTGTTGTCCAGAGGACACAGCAGTGCACTTGGCTTCCTCAGCTGGGCTGTGGTGATGGCTGTGCATCTGTGGGAGGAGTGGGCAGCATGCTCTCCTGGCAGGAGCAGAATCTGGCAATTCAGACAGAATTTCTTCTCATCTAGCGGGAGGGAGGCAAACTTCCTGAACCTGAGGGACAAGTTAGAGTGAGGCTTAAAATCTGTTCGTATGTTCACTTATTCTGAATTAGGTCATGTTGATTTGACCTTACAAACCATCTAAATCATGTACACGATCAGCCGAGATCAAGCTGATAATAACAAACCCCTTTTAATAATCTGTGCCATGTTTACCAATAACCAATAAATACAGACAATATGAACCCTCTGCTTAAAGATTGTATAGACTGCAATAAAAGACAACTTTCTCTATCAGCTGGTTTTTCCCAGTTTGTTGTCAGCTAAGAAAGTGTAGTATACCTTCTGGATCAGGGGGGCTACCATAAACTAGCCTCTTCTTCAGGCTGCAGTTGACTTCTCACCTGGTCCAGTACTCCTGCTGGCTGAACACTGGTCTCTTTGACTGGTTCTCTGTTTCTCTGGCCAAAAGCCTGGCCTCTGACACCTTCAAAGCAAATGAATTGAAATGAATGAGAGTTCACTGGATTACACAGGTAATAGACATGATGATATGACGGAGCTGACCTTGTCATCTTCCCACTGGAAAAAGCTGCAGTCTTTCCTGTCTCTACAAGCTGAGCAGGCATAAAACCTCCTGCCTGTCTCTCCTCCTTTGCCGACTTTCTCAAACAGCAAGGTTGGACCTGGCAAAACACACGTGGCAGCGGTATTTGTATGTTATTCTGTCTGGTGCTTCCACAGTCCAGTAACGTGTTTATTTCCTTAAATGCTTACAGACACACACAGCGGAAAAGAAGCTGTGTGTAGTCAGCTAAAATTCAGCTTGAAGCTTAGATACACTTAATTCGCACTGTCTTTTTTTCTGTCACAATACACCCTCTGAGCTTCTAGCGCGAAGCCGTTTTAAAGTGAAGATTTCGTGGCTGTACGAGCTGTTTTATATTTGTATCAACACGCCGAATTTATCAAAACGCCATATTTGTTCGTAACATGCCGTAAGGTATATTATACAAACTGTGGACATATACCAAAAAACAAGTCAACTTTGAGATAAGCGATTTCCTAAGGCAGTTAGTTATATCACTGACTTGTCTACTATGGTTGTCCTGTACATTCAGACTTACCATGTGGGCAACAAGGCGCTGTTTTACCGCCCTCTGGAAGAATAAAGCATATTCCAAAACTGTCGTTATCTTCGGCCATGTCCATGTTGCTATGGTGACAAAGTAAGTGAACTGTAATTTAAACTTTGTCAACACGAGAGTTTAACCTGGCAAAGTGAAGCAAGAGTGGAAGCCATGACACTGAGTCTTCTTCTTCTTCTTCTTCTTTCGGGTAGACTGGGCACGATTTAGCGCATTGCTGCCTCCCACTGGCGTAACAACGTAATTGCTACTTTAACAGTGTGGATTTGAGGAAGTGAATTACCTCCCTAGCTCTCTATTTCTGAAAGCACCCCGTCATCAAGCATTGTTCTAACAGAAAACGTCCCATTTTGCCAAGGTCCATGAATAACCTCCTCCTTTCTCTGCATCATGACGTGTTGCACGCTCTATGCTCCCCCACAAGCACCAAACCACTTACCAGTCCACAGTGTCTCAGTCTTAGCCTTGTCAGCTTGATGCATCTTTCTTAGGCATGGTCACTCTGTTGCCAGGTTTTACTGACGGCTGTATGTTGTATAGTTTCCTTCCTCCATTGTCTGCATCCCACTCTTGCTGCCATAGATAATTCAGTCTCTCAGTGATTATGCTACAGCACTCCATCCTGCCAAATGGTGAGTGGGCATCTACATAATCCCTGTCTAAACTAGCCCTGGCTACCCAATCCACCACCTCATTACCCTCAGCCCCAATGTGCTAGCACCCACAGAAAACCCACACTACATCCCTGTCTCTCCACTTTAAATACCATCATTACCATCTCCATAACTACGTCTGGTCTTCTAACGAATCGGAACACAAAACAACTCTATTAAACCCCCCTTCTTCCACCTGCCACAGTGTAAAGCGAGTTCTGCAGAGAACATAGATATCTAAGCAGGCAACCCTTTACTCTGGCATATTTGAACACATATACATATAAACCAAAACTCATCTCTCTGCTTTCTGGATCTCTAGATCCATCAGTGTATACATTTGCATAATTACCTCACCTATTTCTAAGATGTTCCTCTATACATGCAGCAGGATTTCCTATTTCTCCTTTCCGTATTGCCTTTTTTTATAGACAAATCCACACCCACTTCTACCCACAGGTGACACTCTAAGTCACGCAGAAATTACATAATATATATTTTGTCACAGTAAAAGCTCATTGGCCAAAAACCAAAACACAGCCAGAATGTGTTCTGCAATCTGGTGATTTTTCTGTTTGGGAATTTATTTTCAATCACAATGGACATGTATTACTAACTCTTTGTCTTTTAACATGGATTCCATTCTGTTTATGAACAGTTTTTTCAAGACCTTGACCTGGACCTTGAGGGGTTTTTTTCTCTGTTTGTTTGTTTCTTTTTGTCAAACAATTGTAATTTGTTTATTTATTTATTTACTTTCTTAACCTTATCATTTATTCTGTAAACATTTGAACTATTATACCTGAATATTAAGATAGTTAATTTCCTTATTCCTCGTATATTTTAATAATAATCTGAAATGATGTTTATGTGTATAACAAAACATTCTTTTGATAAATTTCAATAAAAACAAGGAGGAAATAAAAGCTCTGGCAATAATTATTGCTGTGAAACTGTCATACCTGGGTGTGGATGCAGAACCTCAAACCAAAATTCAGTATACGAACAGCTCTGTCGACCTGAATCAGCCTGTCCTAGTGGATGAACTGCTTCAAATCAAGTGAATGTTCAATACCTTCTGTCTTTACAGAAAAGTTTAAGACAATTTAAAGAAGCATTCATCAGGCTAATACATTGCATAAACAAACATGAACTGAAATACAGTTGTGTTACTGACCCTCTCTTTCACACTGCAGTTTGTTCACACTCAACAGTCTTGTAGTCCCAAACCAGGAGCACGTTGCTCATTAGAATGGTTGTTTTCTTTCTTGAAGACTACAATTCCCATGTACCCTGCGCACCAGCGCAGTGGCCCGAGGACTGTGCTCAATAGCAGTGTGATGGATGCTGAAGCAAAGCAGACACTAGATGCTCGAGGTTATCGGGCGTAAGACGGGAAGCTGTAAATTTCTTCTTTCAAAATAAAAGCATATGGCCTAGATTATGAGCGTTTGACATATGAGCATTTTGGACATCCAGAACAAAATTACACAAAACACATTTGTCTCATTGGACAGAACAATATTCTCTATTTTTGTTTATTTAAATATGCTATAATTGTTTTTATTTAACAACATGTTTCTGATTTCTTGATTTTTTCCCCCCAATAATGATCACATTTTGATTCATCTAACAGCATAGCAAATTATTATATAAATTGTCTACAACTGATTCATTAAGTTTTGCGGAAGTTATTACCTTACCCAAAACTCACAGGTTAAATGCCTGTCAGTTAAGTTTTGGCAAATTTGATTATTTGCAAATTTGCTAGAGAGTTTCCTCCACTACAGTACAAAATGAACAGTGGTAGGCTTTACATTCCATGGTGGTGGTGAGTGATTTGCAGTGTCACCTCTCAGCAAGAAGCTCTGTGTTCAAAGCAGCCAGCTGAAGTGTTTCTGTGTGGAGCTGTCATGAAGATATAGATGTTGTTTTCCATTCATTTTTAAGTTTAATTGGTGATTTTAATCACTAATTAACTGAATCACTTTCATTTTAACTACTAATTCCCATTTTAGTTTATATTCTTACATATTCCATATTGAAATATGTTGTAAAAAATTAGCACAAACTAACTGACACAGGAGTACTGGATAGTTCTGGAGTCTGTTGGTTAGAGGCTGATGTATAATGTGTCTTATGTCAATTATTTTCATTTTATTCAATGATTTTATATTTACTTCAGACTATCTTATATGGATTTGAAAAAGCCACTTAATTCTTATTACGTTCCAGAATTTTCTATACAGCTGCCTATAACACCATCCCGGATTTCTCTGGTCCCTATTCCGACAGAACTAGATTTAGACAGACCTTTATTTTGAAATGTCGTATCGGAACTCCGTTAATTTTTCTATCTAGCATGACTCTAGTCGCGTCTCTTCACCGTGCGCCCACACCCAACCTGCACTGTCTGCTGTGTAGAGAGGCAGCGCAGCCCCGCAGTGTATGCGGGACATTGTCTTCACAGTGCGGCTGTTTTCAGAAGATCTGTGCGGCCTCAGCAGCCAGGGACAGCCAGGATCTCTGCAGTAGGCTACTCCTGTGAAAACACCCGTTCATTCTGCTGGCTGGCGCTGAGGTCTGTGCGCTCTGCGGCTGCTGCCATCATCCATGTACTGTCAATGTGGATAGTGGCTTATTTACTGTGCATCATCTGACTGGAGAAGACATCTGACTGGTACCATGAGCAGCACTGGTGAGAGCATTTCTTTTATACAGTACACTGCCTTTCCTCTGCAGTTGCGGAAATTCCTGTTAATATCATAAGGAACGATCCCAGTAATATTATGAAATTAAAAAAATCCCTTCAGGGCTTCCAGTGTAGCTGTTTTGATTAGTATTGAGTCTGTGGTTGCTTTGTCCTGATTTACACATTTCTTCACCTGCTTTGGCGTCACTATAATATCCCCCTCTATAATATATTATAATATAATATAATATGTGTGAAAGCTATATACAATACATTTAAAATGTAGAGAGAAGCGCTAAATAGGCTATCTTGTCATCCTTTATCTACCAGTGAAGGCAGCAGCATCTGGGTGCAAATTTGTGACCATACAATGAAGCCTGAGGTTGTCTGCTGCTAAGACAGTTTCAGATTTGTCCCAGTAAAAATGGATGTCATGTGGGCTAATTAGAGAGGATGTAGAAACACCCACAGTGGATTTGGTTGTTCTTTTCATCATGTCGCTATGCAGTCACTCCTGGTTTAAAGAGGCATGTCTGTTGTCTACAGCGGGCCTTACTCCTGGCAGGCTGCTGTCACAACTGGCTTTGTCCCTGAGGAAGACTGAACAAATGTAACAAGAGCCTGTGTTCTGTCAAGTCCTGGAGCAACAATGCACATGTTTGTTTTACATGTAAATAAATGTATGTTCTTAGTGAAAGAACTAATAGAGAACCTAAGTTCTGCAGCTTCTTAGTATCAAAGACAATCAGAGAGTGGGGTGTGGTTGTAAATAAAATGACATAGAGACTAATGTCAAAGAATCAAAAAATCTAGATTAGGGTGAAACTCATGGTGTCAATTATTGTGTTATGGTTAAGGGATCACTATAATCTGTGGTCATTCTTGACTTAAGTAACTTAACACTGATCGTACATGAGTTGACATTTTGCTAAGGAGCCCTCAGGGCCCGGTTACAGCACCTCAGGGACCTCCATCACAACTAGCGACCACAGGCTGCTACCCAGAAATGTCTCAAAGTCACAAACTATGAGTTTGTATAAGATAAGTCAGAATTTGAAGGCGGAAAGTCAGCCCAGATATTTCAACCCCTGAGTTAAAATCAAAATGGCAGCAAAAGCACTTTATTAGCTAATGCTTCTCCTTTAGTGCTTCTCATCCTCAATAAACACCTCACATCAACCTCTGTGTTAGCAGTCTTGGGAATGTCCTACATCAGGTTAACTGTAATTCATTGTATTTAGCTAAGTAAACAGGAGTATATATATATATATGTGTGTGTGTGTTATGTTGAACATGTTATATGTTATATGTATATAGAACAGAACAGTTGCAGTATTTCTCTCACTTTGTGGAAAGAGTGTCAACAAACTGGTGGAAAAATGGCTGCAAATTTCAGCCACAATTGTTAGCAGTTACATTAAAAATTTAATTAAAATTAATTCAACTCTAATTCAGTTGATTCAGATCATTTCACCTCAGATAGTTTCACTCGTTAATGAACCACTACGTAGATGTAACAATAAAAGTTGCTAATTTGGTGTTTTTATCTGAGTATTTTAAGTGACATTTTATGCGTCCCGCAGGTAAGCATTGTGTGAATGTAGCAAGTGCAGGATTACATTGTATTTTAAGGACAGTTTTTAAGGCAAAGAAAATCTCACAGAGTCAATATAACTGATGACAGAGACTGACCCAATCATAAGTTCAACTCTTCAGTACAGAAAGCATGGATGGCTTCTGGTTTTAATGAGACCCATCGATGCTTTGCAGAGCGGCGGGAGCTGCTAATGAGACTGCTGCAGTTCGTCTGGGAGTCAAGAGACAGGAGAAATTAATTAGCAGACCGCTGTCAACTGAGGGGGAGTAGACAAACAAGAGACACAGTTTGTCTTAACTTAGTCTCCCTTCTTTGTGATGCCTTTTAGCAGTTTGACCTTTAACCTTTTGAGGAGTGTCGACTAGATATGTGAGTGGACAAGAGCAGAAAATTCATTTCAGATCTCTACCTGTGTGTGATGACGGCTGGTCTCCACATGTACGAGTCCCTCCTGGTCAGGTGTGTCAGGTGTATGTGTGTGTGTGTGTGTGTGTGTGTGTGCAAAGAGAGATCCAACTGATTTCAATAAACAGTGGTAATTGCTGTTATTTGAATAACTTGTTTATGAGCAAGACGTCCACTTACATGTTGGCTGTGCTTCAGAATGTTATAAAGTGTCATGAAGTCACAGGGACAGTGACAGGCAGAGGTGCAGTCCTCCAGGCCACACAGCATGCTTGGTTCCATCAGCTTTCCGTACGACTCCCCCCCACCCCCACCCCACCCCCCCTGCGGAAGCGAAAGTGAAAACTGTCAAGTGACAGTGAAATACTCATTAGGTGCAGCGGTGACTGACAGTTTTGTACACTGGGGTAGGAGAGATACATAGGTCCACTTAGCTCCAGAGCTAATAATCATTAGCAAAGCAGTGTAGAAAACGTCAGCTGCAGCTTCTCATCTTAGTTAAAAGCGGTGCGTCGTATCAGCTGTCACTAATTCATGTTCAATCAGTCACTAACTTCATGTCAAGCCTAAATTAAACTTGGCTGTTGTCGGTTTTTTGTGTGCTCTTCACACCACTGGTAACACTTGTCAAAGATAGTTTGTGAGGGAAGACGCTCCACTGTACAGCACCATGTACAACCACAAGTCAACTGTTTCTTTAGTTCATACAAACAGAGTGAGACGGCCTCTTCTCAAGAATTAAAGCGTATGTACAACCCTACCGTTTCATCACCTGGGCATAGTTTAGATTATCTAAATCCTTTTTTTTTTTTTAATCGCACCAAAGATTTCTTGAGACTACAGTGTGCTTGTCCTGAGCCACCCTGAACCTAACTCAGTGTAACTTGTCGTGGCATCCTACCAGAATCCTGTGTGACCCAACGGGGTTCTTGTAAAATAAAATACCAGCCCTCAGTCCAGAACATGTTCTGCTTGAAAAAGAAGAGTCTCTGAGAGAAAACTGAGATCTGTATTCACAGGTGTCTTCTTTAGTGCTACCTGTGTTTGACGGCGTAAACCCGGCCACAGGTTTGGTGTTTAAATAAACTTCTTAGAACAGGCTTGGCATGATGAACACGCCCTGAGACAAAGTTGAGCAATAGAATCAATCTGCAGGCCAGTCTGCATTCCTTCAATTGTAGAAAAATATAATTACACTTCATCTTTTGTTGATCGTTGTATGTGGAACAGCAGAAAGTTCAGAGTGACGTTAGAATGGGTTATTGAAAGGCCTCGTGCTGAGACACATTAGCAGGACTGAGCCCCTTTCCCCCAAGGAATAATTATCAGTGACTAGTAGCGGATGGATAATGAGAGAATAGCCTGTTAAATCAAGCTCAGATTACTGCCACGGGTCAGTTAAGGACACGTCTGATCAACAAACCTACTTGGTGATATCCTGACGACTGGTTCTTTAGAGGCAGACAGCTGGGATCAATATAACTTACATTTAATCTATCTGTGGATTCCCGTTCCTTTGTAAAACTGCCAGTGTGCTACAAAGCCAGATGAGGAATGTCGCCTCAACACTCTTCACCCTGGCTCATCCTCAGCATCATCAGTATCATCAGCGGTAAAACACTGGTCCGAGACTCCACCACCTTCTCAAAGCGCCTGTCCAATTATAAAACAGTGATTTTATCTTGGCCAGTGGAACTGACACCTGGCTCTTGTGAGTATTTCATCACACTGCACAGCTGCTGGTGAGTCGATCTTGAGCTTGTGACCTGCAGTTTGGACCTCAAAAGCAGAACTCAGAGACGTGACAGTAAAAAGTTCAAACACAGATTTATTGTAAACTTGAAAAGGTGAAGATGTCGCGAGTTGAGACAGAAAAGACGATGGAGTGGAGCAGGCAGAGAGATCTGGTTCCAGGGGCCAGGGCGAGGAAGATGGAGCGATGCAGGCGAACATGGTACGAGTGGACCAGCAGATGGACGGGGAGCTCGGTGATGCAGACAGGCAAAAAAAAAAAGAAAAGTTGAACCCGAACCCAACCCTCAGAGCGACACTGTCTTTTCAAGAAATTGTTCAACAATTTGGTAAATTTGCTTCTTAACATTCTTCCCAAGAGTGAGATGAGAAGATCCATATCAATGTCATGTCTGTCTGTGAAGTACAGAGCTGGACTCAGGCATGGTTAGCGTAGCGTAGCATAAAGACTGGAAGCAGGGGAAAAGAGCTAACTTTAAAATATACTGCTACCAACACCTCTAAAACTCACCAATCAACATGTTGCATCGAACTATTTGTCGGGGAGCAGCCGTGCACAATGACTGTGGGGAGATTTCAGCGGTTTTGTTGACACAGTGAGGTTGCCACGTTTGGTACCATTGTGCCCGTGCCAAGACCAAAGCCTGAACTCACGGTCCTGTGCTATAGTTGGAGACCTTCCACAGAGGTCCTGGGCACATGGATGAACAGCATATAACTCCCTGCAAATAGTTAACTGTATGTTTCTGTTTGTGTACACATAAAACAAATGGAGACTTGTTATGTTCTGAGCTTTACTGCTGTTTGTAGCTATATTTTTCGACTTCGTATAAAGCCAGACTAGCTGTTTCCACAGGCTTCCATTCTTTATGCTAAGCTAAGCTAACCATGTACTAACTCCACTCTGTACTGACACAGACATGTGATTGATTTTTGGAAATGAATAAGTGTGGGTTGGTGTTACTGTATTTCTCTGTTGTCAACAAAACACCATGAAAACACTTACACTACACGGACACTGCTGAAGGCCACGTGGCTCCCGGGTGTGTGTGTGTGTGTGTGCCTTCCTGTGTGTTCTCTGTTAAGAATGATGATGTAGGTGTTTACACAGGTGCAGCTCGTGCTCGACAATGTGTTTGTGAAAGTGAAAATACTGGGGCGTCTGCATGAATGTGTTCATAACTGGAGATAATACATGAGAATATCAAAGATAGGCAGATGCTGACCAATCACTGTGCTCCATCTGGGTTAT